TAAAATCACCTCTTCTCTTGATTCAAGGTGATTCAAATCCTTGATTCTGACTCATGATTTTAGAATCATGATTTAAACCTAAAATCATAAATCATGATTTTAGTTTCAGAATCATGATTAAAATACTGATTCTGACTCATGATTTTAGAATTATGATTTGAACCTAAAATCATAAATCATGATTTTAGTTTCAGAATCATGATTAAAATAAGCCTGATTTGAATACTCGTATCAAACACACCCTTAGACGCATGCAATACTAATAACAAAAATTCACACCATGAAATGTCTTTCTTTTTTTTTTTTTGAAATTTTTATGATAAGTGATGAAAATTATCCATCATTAATAATTTTGTACGTTAAAATGTCTATTTATGTTATGCTTAATAATTTTGTAGTTCTGCATAGTTTATTACTTTAGTAGGATTTTGATCAAATTTCACATCACAAACATACTTTACTAGCAAAAGTTTTTTTTTTTTTAATTATTTTTTCTTTCCCTGAAAAGGTGACCTTTTCTGACCTTCAAAATTTCGCAAAAAGTGGACCAAAAAGAAAATCCCAGCTGGCCATTTTATAAATGCCCTTGGTAAAAGAGTGTAATTAGCTTTATGAAATTTTGAATAGCAAATGATGTGTAAATTGAATTTAACAATATATTTACTTGGCAGATCACGTGTAAATTAGGACCCATTTAGTTTACTAATTTAAATTTTTAATTTAAGTTGAGATGTGATTTTATATAATAATTTTTTTATTGTAATAAAAATATTAAATGTGACTGTTTTTAATAATATTTTACTCTAATAAAACTCAAATCAATAAAATAAACGAAATCTTAGTTATCTATCTATTATAAATCTATAATAAAAATTGAGGATCGAGTTAGATGTTATATCTTGGTACGGTATTTATAGCATTATTTCTTAACCCAAAAAATAAAATAAAATAAAAACAATTCTTCTTATGAAAAATAATACTGAATCACGCTAGTGTTGCTTTTGATCACTGCATGCGTTCACAAAAGTCATGTAGAGTGAGATTAAAATTATTAATGTTGAGCGCCAATATTGATATGTTCATAATACAAGCGTTTCATAATTTGATTATAAAAAGCACGTGTATCGTCCAACTAAACAGTAAATTATGTAAAATCTAATTTTATTAAGGGACACTTTTATTTGACTTTTTACATACATATTCTTAAACCACCATTCATTCTACTTGTTGTACTCCTTTTTAAGATTTTAAAAAAGTCCATACAATTAAGATCGTGTTTAGTATGAGGATTCGTGTCATGGTTCGAATCATGATTCGTGGCTCGCTACTGTATTCTTTCACAACACACGTAAATCAAAAATGATTCTAAATCATAATTCTAAATCTATGAATCAAACATCCACTAAATCTTTATATTCTACTTTTCTTACACATTCTTAAACCACAATTCATTCTACTTGTTACACTCCTTTAAAAATTTCAACAAAAAAAAATCCCTTTAACTAAATCAAATTATTTTTTTCAACAAAATTTAAAATGTTCATCATTTCTTTTATTTCTTTTAGGATAAAATGTACAACATTTTTTATAGCTAATTATAAATCCTATATATGTTAATTGTTGTTAAGTGACATTCTATTATAACAAAATGGCCAGAGCAATAGCTGGTCTTATAGCTAGTAGTCGTGAAGGTATAACGTGTAAAACATGATCGTTAAACTAATCAATATATATATATATATATAAACAATCAAACGTTAGAGAAAACATCGATTGAGAAAAAAAAAATTGGGGACATTCATTAACAATGGACACTCTATGCAATTTCAAAACGAAAAGAAATCAGTAATAAACGAATGGAAGTAAAACAAACTGTAGTCATGAATTGGTATTTTTTTTATCTTCAAAATTTTTTTATTAATCATGAACTTTTTCTCCTCAAAAAGTTTTATTACAAAAGGAAAAAGGGTGTGTAAAAAGTAGAATGAAAGTGTAAATAGACGAACCATTTTTTTTAATAATGGAGGGTGTAATAAGCATTTTTAAAAAATATTATTGTCTTTAAAAATAATTTTATTAATGGATATTTTAATAATATTAAAAAAAGTGTGTGAAAAGTAAAAAAAAAAAAAAAAAGTGAAAAAACGCACCCTTTTATTAAAAACGGGATTTTCCCAGTTAATA